CATCAGGTGAATGACAGAATATGATACACGCAAAATATATAGTATGTACAGGAAGCCAGTGAGATAGTATTACAGATTGAGATGTACAGAGATTAAGTGATGTGTTTAGATGAGAACTCTGTTTAGAACTCTGTACATCTCATCTAAACACATCACTTAATCTCTGTACATCTCAATCTGTAATAATATCTCACTGGCTTCCTGTACATACTATATATTTTGCTTGTATCATATTCTGTCAGTTACGTGATGAAGGGGCCAGAAGTAGCCCGGAAACGCCGTGTTGTAAATACTAAACAGAGAAAATAGAAGTAGAAGAAGAGCAGTCAGGTATTGACGTGGGCAGAGCGACAGTATAGGAGGGTAGAAGTATATCAATGAGAGAGAAAACTGTGAGAGAGGTGAGAAGAGAGAAGACAGAACTCAGTTCTTAAATGCACCTTTCAACTATCCTTAAATGATTAAGAACTCAGAGGACGATATTCGCGTGTGAACATGCCATAATACGAGGCCGCAGGTTCATTCCACAAACACAAGTAGGAATCGTGAACATTTTAACACTACAGTTTTTTGCAATTTTGAAGAAACATGTCAAGATACAAACCCAACTCATCTCCTTAGACTCTTTTTTTACAAGAGACAACAAGTTTACAAACAGCAGCCCTTCAACAAGTTGTTGATCAGCACGTCAGGTGAGCCTTAATACACCTATAGAATCAGATGCACAAATACTACTCCAAGACGGCCAGGTCCCAGCTCAGACATAACCCCGTCTCAAACTTTGACAAAAACACGACACTGCAAAGAACAAATTTGTTCTCACAGACGTCATAATAAAAATATAGTGTGCGCTGCACCGCTGGGGCTGAACTGGGCTCGTATATACATTTTGAGAACGGCAGATTTACCGGTGCAAACATGTACTGGGTGTGTTGCACATGTTGTGATGTGTGGCTTTACCATTGGAATTATAAGACGGACAGGGAGCCGATAGTATTTTATTGTGTTTAGTCAAACTGGAGGAGTCCGCCTTCATTTGTAACTCACATGTATAACCGCTTCAACAAAGGCAGTTACAAATTGGAAATCTTTAAATGTTTATCTATATTTTTTGTATATCCCAATGAAACGCGTTTCATGTTAATGACAAACTGCCATATGTTGCCGGGATAAGGTAAATCAGGATATGGTGCGTGTTGTCTTGGTACTATTTCTTTACTGGTGTTCACTGAGAGACAAACAAATAATGCAAATATATACAGTGGGGTCATTTGGGGTAAACAGTTTGTCAAACGTCTGGAGCAAGAGTGTTTCCACTTTCAAAACATCGTCTCAATGAAGATCCAACCTCAACACCACCCTTAGTTCCAACTGAAAATGGTGTCAAAATGATGATTGTGATTCATTCCTTGTATTTGTCAGTGTGTTCACATCGTGTCAGAATGTATTTATATCCTACACTGGGCTATTAGTTGAACTGTGCTGGTACATACAGTAGCACCCATACATTGTATTTACTTACATGGAGAATATTCAACCTAATCCCATCAAACAGTAAACGCGCTGTACTAAACATTTTTCACAGGGGTCAGGCTTGACGCTGTTGTTGGAACACTGTTGTTGTTGTTTTTGTTGGTGGTTGAAATGGACAAGGGCATACGTTTGTATAAAAAGATATATGTGATGGACAAAATTGTGGTTTCGATAGGAAGCTTTACACTGATAATAAGAACATAATGCATATGTGGCTGTTTTATTTTGAAATTGCTCAGTTTCAATAAGATATCAGCATGATACATGTGTGACTGTTTTATATTGAAATTGCTCAGTTTCATTGAGATATCAGCATTATACATGTGTGACTGTTTTATATTGAAATTCCTCAGTTGCATTTAGATATCAGCATGATACATGTGTGACTGTTATTGAAATTACTCAGTTTCAATTAGATATCAGCATGATTCATGTGTGACTGTTTTATATTGAAATTGCTGTTTCATTTAGATACTAGTATCAGCATTATACATGTGTGAATGTTTTATATTAAAATTCCTCAGTTTCAATTAGATATCAGCACGATACATGTGTGACTTTTTTATATTGAAATTGCTGAGTTTCCATTAGATATCAGCATTATACATGTGTGACTGTCTTATATTGAAATTCCTCAGTTTCCATTAGATATCAGCATGATACATGTGTGACTTTTTTATATTGAAATTGCTGAGTTTCTATTAGATATCAGCATTATACATGTGTGACTGTTTTATATTGAAATTGCTCAGTTTCATTTAGATATCAGCATTATACATGTGTGACTGTCTTATATTGAAATTGCTCAGTTTCCATTAGATATCAGCATGATACATGTGTGACCTTTTTTTATTGAAATTGCTGTTTCAATTAGATATAAGCATTTTACATGTGTGACTGTTTTATATTGAAATTGCTCAGTTTCATTTAGATACTAGTATCAGCATTATACATGTGTGAATGTCTTATATTGAAATTGCTGAGTTTCAATTAGATATCAGCATGATACATGTGTGACTTTTTTATATTGAAATTGCTCAGTTTCCATTAGATATCAGCATTATACATGTGTGACTGTCTTATATTGAAATTCCTCAGTTTCAATTAGATATCAGCATGATACATGTGTGACTTTTTTATATTGAAATTGCTCAGTTTCCATTAGATATCAGCATTATACATGTGTGACTTTTTTATATTGAAATTCCTCAGTTTCATTTAGATATCAGCATGATACATGTGTGACTTTTTTATGTGGAAATTGCTGTTTCAATTAGATATCAGCAAGATACATGTGCGACTTTTTTATGTGGAAATTGCTGAGTTTCATTTAGATATCAGCATGATACATATGTGACTTTTTTATATTGAAATTGCTCAGTTTCATTTAGATATCAGCATGATACATATGTGACTGTTTTATATTGAAATTGCTGAGTTTCATTTAGATATCAGCATGATACATATGTGACTTTTTTATATTGAAATTCCTCAGTTTCAATTAGATATCAGCATTATACATGTGTGACTTTTTTATATTGAAATTCCTCAGTTTCATTTAGATATCAGCATGATACATGGAAATTGCTGTTTCAATTAGATATCAGCAAGATACATGTGTGAAATTGCTGTTTCTGAGTTTTTTAGATATCAGCATGATACATATGTGACTTTTTTATATTGAAATTGCTGAGTTTCATTTAGATATCAGCATGATACATATGTGACTTTTTTATATTGAAATTGCTCAGTTTCATTTAGATATCAGCATTGATACATATGTGACTGTTTTATATTGAAATTGCTCAGTTTCATTTAGATATCAGCATACATATACTGTTTTATATGAAATTGACTCAGCATTATACATATGTGACTGTTTTATACTGAAACTGCCCAGTTACATTTAGATATCAGCCAACATGATACATATGTGACTGTTTTATACTGCAACTGCTCAGTTTCATTTAGATATCAGCATTATACATATGTGACTGTTTTATATTGAAATTGCTCAGTTTCATTTAGATATCAGCATTATACATATGTGACTGTTTTATACTGAAACTGCCCAGTTACATTTAGATATCAGCCAACATGATACATATGTGACTGTTTTATACTGCAACTGCTCAGTTACATTTAGATATCAGCCAACATGATACATATGTGACTGTTTTATACTGAAACTGCCCAGTTACATTTAGATATCAGCCAACATGATACATATGTGACTGTTTTATACTGAAACTGCCCAGTTACATTTAGATATCAGCCAACATGATACATATGTGACTGTTTTATACTGAAACTGCTCAGTTACATTTATATATCAGCACTATACATATGTGACTGTTTTATATTGAAACGGCTCAGTTACATTTAGATATCAGCAATCCAGGACCTGATCATTTCTATATATCAGTATTAGAGTATTTGTATGGGTAACCGAGATTCCTTTTCTGTAGGTGACTATACATTATTAATAAGATAGTTGGCTGTACTGACTGAATTCCATACTATTCTCTTAATGTAGACTGCAAATATAGGGGACGTTCATTCTCAGTTGTAGGCACAACAATCGTGGAACTCAGATCTCTAATGCACCCTACCACATATCTTTGAAACAACATATAGATGTTGGTTATTATCATTCAGACTAAAATAAATATATGAATGCATCAAAGATAATCCTGGCACAGTCAGGCTGTTTAGGACCGTTTCCCCATTAAACCGAACACAGAATGCGAACTGGTCTTCTCCCCGGAAGTGCTGCCTAGCCGTATTGGGAAATGTAAAGAATCCCTTCTGTGGCAAAAGGGCTGTGTTCCTTGTAGAAAAAAACGGGGTTCTTTCCCAATATCAGTCAACCGGTTAATAGGTCCCAAACCTAAGGCACCAATAAACATGGGGACCTGGAGAACTTGGGAATCAAGGGTGACATTTCGTGAAGCAAATTTACTAAAAACAATAGTCCAATGTGCTTTGGCCAGTTGTAACATAACACACGTGTAAACTATGGTGTATTTGTATGGCACTATTTAGATTGAGTAAATACAGTTACTTTTACACATCTACGAGAAAGTCTTCGTCTTTGTGAATGTCAAAAATAGATTCTAAATAAGGATTCTAAATGAGGAGCACTGGGACCCAATACTGACCAAAGTCAGTCATGGCTACTCAAGGGATGGTTTTAGTGGACAAATTGACTCAAGCATTACCAAGTTAGGGGTCAGTATCCAAAGTTCTCAGAACAACAGACAACCTCTGTGTTATTTCTGTCACATTTATGGCCACCTCTTGGTGGGGGATTTACCAGTTTAAGTGATTATCACAGAAAGTGGACAAACACGCGTAGCACGGAGGTAAACATAAACACTGTGTGTCAGCTCAATGTATCACAGCTGTATACTGTCAAACATACATTCTTCATTCGGGGTCTTTGAGGAATAAGTCAAAACCATGTGTTGCAAACAATCAACATCATTTATTCTGTTTCGACATTTTATTTAATAACATGTATCTTCTGTCAATTTCATCTTGTGATTAGTACAATTTATAAAAATTAACATTTCAATTTTCGAGACATTTAGTTGATATTACAAAACGTGATCCTGGATACATTTCTTAAAAATATATGCTTACATGAAACAATCCATCTGTCAGTGCCATATCATTGGGTAATGTAAGAACATGTAATGTGATATAACCATCTGTAAAGATAATATACATATGTACAATGTTAGATGAGTATGGATACAGATACAGATACGGATACAGATACAGGAAAGTCTCGGAAGAATCAATGATCAAACATATATTGCATGATTCTGTACCGGAAGTACTAGCAACTGGACACGTGCTACAGGACTACTCTCTATCCACGTGATCTGGATAAAACCCTTCTGTATGGCCAAGCACTGGACACGTGCTACAGGACTACTCACTATCCACCTGATCTGGATAAAACCCTTCTGTATGGCCAAGAATTGATTCTTCCCCATGTCCACACTACTCAATCTTCTAAGCGCTAAAATGTTCCGTTTTTAAAAGTCTCAGTTCTGCCTGAAATAAGCTGTAAATACTTCATTCCTTTGTAAACATAAATCAATAGTTTTACAAGATAATTGTATTCAAGGAGCTAAATATGCTTTGGGATATTTCACCTGGTTATATAACGTCAACTCTTCGCCCATACAGAATTGGCGTTACCCATACATGTTTACATCACGACTCTTTGCCTATACACAAATATAACATTATACAATACTTAACCACGAGGTTTATCACTCACGCCATTACACCAGTTGCACACGTGTCTACTGCAGGAAGACAGCCTTGTGTATCATTTACACAAGTTCAAAATGTTCATAGAAACTAGTTCGGTTTCTGGGTATGGCAGCATTGGTAAATCACAAAACAGGCAAAATTTATTTTTAAATAGTCACATACATTCATTCACACAGATAATATATACAGTATTTCTGTTTTAAGACGATTCATACATATCCCCGTTAAACCATCAAGTGAAATTAAAGGGGAACGGGAAGGTACTGCACTAGTGGAATGAAATACAGAAAAACATGTATCTGACATATACTGGCTGATCCCTACCCCGTTATACCGCGGCACATCTACCCGGACACTGCTTTCACTGTAGCAAGGAAATACTTCTACTTATCTAACGACATCTTCTATCATTTACAACCATACTGTTTATAATATACTTCTCTTCAAAAGTTTAGACTCACTTAAAGCACTCGATATATGTTATGGATATATATTATGGTTACATCGAAGATTGATTTCTCCATTACCTTGGGGGAACCAACTGCAAACCTTATGCAGATGAATTGCACGAGGATCATGCATCAAATTGCTGAAAAGCATGTGCTAATATCGTGCCTGTGAACAGCTGCGGTGTGGTGTGAAGTTTGTGTTAAGATTTCACCAATTTTCGCTGATTTTTATCATTTACTGAACTCATGACAACAATCCTTTCAACGTTACGAATTTGTTTTACAATACATCAGTCCATGTGCAAACAGTACCTTTAAACAGCATGGAATATTTTGCAAACTTTAGTTTAGAACAGTTGCCTGAAGTAAGTGGCTATATTTACACTAGTGAGTCTAAACTTTTGATGAGAAGTATATATACACCATACAACAGACCATTAACATTCATCTGTCGTTTTACTTACAAGTATGATGAACACGATGAGAAGTGTCAAGAGCTTTTCAAACTATGTATTCAATATATCTGTTTAAATGCCTATACTCCACACTGTACATATCAGCATATGTTCATTCACAACACTAGACAATACAAAGTCTTTCTCTAGGTGAATACGTGGTCCCCGTAGTTAATCTTCACTGGTGTAATGTATCCAAGCTGAATTGATTCCTTAAAGTCCCTCCGTTCCAACAGTCACGTGTTTAGCTTGGTGAGTTCCATACATAGGGTTATTAAAAACAACCGGTTTTGCAAAATGTTCCTCATTATGTATATTGTTTTCAATGTTTTCTTCGGCTTCCTTCAAGTCAGCATTCTTCCTACGTCTGAAAAACGTAAAAGAAATTTAAAAGTAGGAATCTTATTTCGTCATCGTTATTACATGTTATATCATCATTTATTTTCTTATCTTACAATTCTTTTGCATACACCACACCGTATTAGTATTTTTCTGTATGAAGGGAGGGCAAAAACTGACATGAAGGCTGTTCAGGAGAGAATATTAATACAGCTGTATTTGTTGTTTAAGACCGAGCTCAGTAGTATTCCAGCCATATACGGGCGGTCTGTGAATAATCGAGACTGAATCAGACAATCCAGTGATTGACATCATGCCCATCAATCTACGCAATTGGGAAACGATGACATGTGTCAACCAAGTCAGCGAGCATGGCCACACGATCTAATTAGTCGCCTCGAACGAGAGGCATGGTTTGGTGAGACTAACTCCTGCAGTGGCGGATCCAGAGGTGTGTGTGTGTGTGTGTGTGTGTGTGTGTGTGTGTGTGTGTGTGTGTGTGTGTGTGTGTGTGTGTGTGTGTGTGTGTGTGTGTGTGTGTGTGTGTGTGTGTGTGTGTGTGTGTGTGTGTGTGTGTGTGTTTCAGGGGGTTTGAACCTCCCTTTTGAAAATGACCTAAGGTCACATTGAAGATTCTTTTTGCGTTGGCGGAGCCCCCTCCTTTCAGAATTCCTGGATCCGCCCATGTCCTGCCGGGATATTCACCGACGTCTGGTTTAGCGTGATTGTTATTTGTGCATCTGTTTACATGGTAATATATCACTGTGTACAAAACACACAAAAACTATGTTTCTCTGTAAATTAAACACACACCCACCCACCCCACCCCACCCCCGCACAAACAACCACCCAATTATAACAAAGGTAAACAACATTTCAAGTGAATGAATATCTTTCATTATATTGTATATTAACGCTTAACGATACATACATCAACATATGTTTAAAAATGAAGCTTGCTTCTTTTTTTAATCAAATTATATTAAAACATTTTCTGCATCAGCAGTAAGGCGGCATAACTCGTCCATTTTACAATCCATTACGTAAGTAGGACTTTTGATGGCCCTTGTCGCCATGAACCTATAACACCACCACAAGTCATGGCCGCGTGACGTACCTTCTCACATAAACAAAGTAGAAGACGGCAATGCAGATAACAATGAAGGCAAACAGTGAACAAAGAACCGCGGTGGGCACCTGCCAGTCAGTGTTCTGAAAGTACAAGTAATCATAAGTATACCTTTGGATCATTCCTTATAACACAATTTTTGCCATAGTCAATCTCCATAGAGTCCTTGCACAATTGTAACTATACCACAAACATGCGTGTATGAATCATACTATCAGATATTGAGTGAGTGAGTGAGTTTAGTTTTACACAGCATTCAGCAATATTCCAGCTATATGGCGGCGGTCTGTAAATAATCGAGTCTGGACCAGACAATCCAGTGATCAACAGGATGAGCAACAAGTCAGCGAGCCTGACCAACCGATCCCGTTGGTCGCCTCTTAGGACAAGCATGGGTTACTGAAGATCAATATTCTAACCGGGACCTTCACGGGATCTATCAGATATTGATAATACCAGGTATTCGCCAATGCCGAAACATTGGTATCCCAGGTTTTACTAACTCCCGATAAGAATATAATTAATTAATTAAAATAGCACAATCAAAGGGAGTATTAATCATATGTACATGTGCACGACTACATGACTATGAATAGTCAGTAAGAATAATGCAATTCTATAATGACGTACCTCTGCTGGCGGTGGTACTTGTGACGTTTCTTCTGTGTTAGCCAAGGCTTTTCCTTTTGCCCTTAGAGCCTCACTAAGATGAGCTTCAGAAGGAGATGACAAAGCCTCTAGTTCATCGTTGTCATGGCGACGGACTGCATATTTGATGTCAGAGACAGGTCCACTGATACATGTAATAGTTTGGTCCAGTGTTAGTTGAATAGTTTACAGGTAACCGGGAATGAAGTGAGGGTCAATTGCAATGTCTCTTCAATGACAGGGGATGAAATCATTTTACGGCCCCTCTTTCAATTTAAATTACAATACACTGAGAACAACTATTCGTGTTTAGCTTAAGCTCTCCTCATTAGAAGATGAGCTGGAATGTTTTCTAAGTCTATTCAGAGAATGACTAGTGGTAATTTTGTTCTGCATTTTGTTACAAAATGAACAAATAACTAATGGCAGGAGGTTGCTGATGTAAGGATTATAGGATGACATATACGCACCCTTTTTCGTCGTGATTATCAACGTCAAGAATCTGAACGTCCAAATCTGCAGGGTTCACATCTGAAATGACGTTTAAGTTATCATTCATTTTTCTTACACTTTGATATGGCATTTATCACTGCTAAAGTATGGAACGCTCACGCAGTACACACGGCTTCCTCAATGTCTCATTTATCTGTTCTAGTAACAACAACTCTAGTCACCTGGATTGGACTTTGCAATGGCGTCCTTGACAGCTTCAGCAACGTCCTTCTTCTCGACCTCTTTGGTGGTGCCCTTCAGCTTGACGTGGCCAACTTTGCCGGGCTGGCAGTTGCAGTTCTCTATTCCGTTGGCCTTGAGACTTCGGTCAAGGTCATCCTGGGAAGGAGGCTGGACAAACAATGGTTCTGGGTCCTGTCCATCTATTGACACTGTGTAATCAGCTCGCGATACGGGTTTCCTGTAATCGTTATTCAATTTTAATGCTTAAGCTGCGTCAGCAATCAAAATAAATTATAAAAGTGACGTAAAAGACATATTTTAAAAAAGTTTCAGGCAGACTGTATGATACGATGTTAACTTAAAAGACAGTTTGGGTGTGTTTTCCAAGAAAATGACTCGAATATAAATGGTGAAAAATAAACGAAAAACTGACACTTCCTTAGTAACTTCCAATGCAGACAAAATAATATGGTGTGGTTGACTGTATGTCTGCGTGTATCACTGGTTTGTCGGGTTCACACACTGTTTACATGTCGTGGTGACAGAACTTGAATATCGCTCAGTGTAGCGATAACCAACATATGCTTACTCATTCACTCATTGTTGTAAGCCCAAATTCCCGCAATACAAGAGTGACCTACCCTTGGTCATCGACTAATTCTACAGCTGGTGCGGCAGCTCGGCGGGTTCTCGTGATCTGCAGCTGTTTCAGATTCACTTCCAGGGAGGTCTCCAGACTAGAAGATGCTGCAACAGAAATCGTTCATGTGACCTAAATTGAATCACAACCTAATCGACAAACAATGTAAAACAAGCGTAAAGTCAGTAAATCGTCTGTTTTAAATGTATGTTTTACCTTATCCATGGAATAGGCCTTGTACAAGGGTACTGTTCTAAAAAACATACACGTTCGATACTCGATCGCCGGTTTGTGAAACAGGACCCAGAATCACCACAATTCCGTCATTTACGAGCCAAAAACATCTTAAAGGCCTCGTCACAAACTAGAGTTCCTGTATAATATTAAACATAGTGATGAATAGTTCTGTGTTACCATTATTCTTGTCAATCCACGCCTGTTTCAGGGCAGCAGCTGCAGCTGTGTAGTTTACCCTGGCTCCCTTCACATGCATCTTCCTCAGCTTCAGGCCCTCACAGCTGCAGGGATGTTGCTGTATGCCGGTGTTGTTGAGGGCGTGGCTAACCTCGTCAGTCGACGGTGCTGACCGCGTCAGTTGGTCGGGGTCGGTGGAGTTGAGAGACACAAAGTACTGAACCTTTGTGAGCTTCTGCCTGTGTGACCCAAGATTGGTATGGATTTAGAGGAGATAGGGGGTGACGTGCACAGGCACCCACTGCGGGTCAGAAAATCGATAAACTAAGCCCTGGTTTACTATCCAGCCCCCCTACTATATAACATGCAAAGGTTCATCACAGAAATGCGGTGACATGATCGAAAACCGGACAATTACGCACACGTCTCACAAGTATCAAAAGCTCTTGTCCATATCTTCAATGTATGTAGGGGGCATATACATGCGCTTTCCGTGGGGATGCATTTGATGGTTTTTATTAAATCGCCAAAGACCTAGTTGCTGTGCCGGAAGTATACAAAAATAGGTCGTTTCCAAATCAGAGAAATTCGATCTACTTCATAATTTAAAAAACAAAATAATACCAGGTGGTCTAAATTAAAAATTTCTTCAAAATATGTTACAGAATTCGTTTAAACCTTCTTTTTTTCTATTTTTAGAAGTGCAGCATCGTTTAGATTCTTACCACTGTTTATCGACGTATACATTAACATCACTGATCTCACCAGACACATTTGTCGATTGCCCTGAACAGAAACATAGAAATGACATTAATAAAAGACAAGACAAGTCCTATGTCCTATAATGCACCGTGTAACGGTGTACATATTGCGATAGATTTAACGCCGATATAAGCGGTGTTTCACATACTTTTACATTCGTAACGAAGTGATAGGGTTGAAAGGGTCTTTACGTAGCAGAAGTTAACATCCATAAAATGTCCTCACTTATTTATGGTGAAAACAGCAACAATTTAAGTAATCTTAATCCGAACTGTTGGTTCCGATCACTGGACCTACTGAACTACCAACAAATAGGTAACCGTAATATTACATGTGAGTAAAGATCCCCGGTCACTTACCTAGGCTACCCAACCATGCGCTGTGGATGCCCGTCCGTAACCTATCCATGTCGATCTTGGAGGTGTAGCCAATCAAATACAGATCTCTAACTTTGTAGGTAGGTCGCAGCCACACAGACACGCCCGCTGATTGGCTGTCGATGTTACCAGCTATGTTTGCTCTCGTTGGAGAACTCATGACCCAAGGGGTGATGACGTCACTATTTCTCGTGACAGTGTAGGACACTTCGGTTACACGTACAATAGCAGAGCTGCTACATAACAGAAGCAGAGAGTTCAATTATAACGTATATTGAGTAATGACATGTGCAGCAAAGTATGTTTTCTGTTGAAAACATGTGAGCAATTGTGCTTACAAGCAATAAAAGTTAAATTAATCAAAATGAACATGTGAGGTGAGGTGAAATTGAGTTTATCGTCGTGCTTGAGAATATTTCGCTCATATGACGACGTGCATCCGTGTGTATGTGTATGCGCGGCTGCTTGTACTAGCCCAGACTTAAGCTGGTTTTATAATGCTAGCCCACTGAGATATAATGCCGCAGTGAAGCATGAATACCCCACTCAGACACATTATACTGACTCCGAGCCGACCAGTCCTTGTTGTACCCATTAATGCCGAGCGCCAGGCAGGGACCAACATGTACCATATTTTAACGTCTTTTGGTATGATGCGGTCGGGGATCGAACCCGCGACCTTCCGCTCTCCGGGCGGACGCTCTAACCACTACAGCACGGAGGCGGTTCAAAATGAACATGTGATGACATTTATTGGTTTGTTGACTGAGGTCACTCGCTTGAACAGACACACTCCAGTCAACTAAAGAGCGACTGAGTTTCATTTTGCGCCGTTCTTAAATATTCCAGCTTAACAAAGCGAAGGTCGGAAATAAAGTTCAAATATTGTACCCGGATCTTCGGTGTGACCAACGAATGCACTAGGCTACCCCATCGTAAGAGCCTAAAGACAGTTCAATATATCCATGACATGAGCGAATGTTGTTTTACGCTGTGGTGAAATTGCTGGGCCACCAAACCAGTGGATGACAGTGTGAGCATCGACCAAGCCGTATGATTAGTAAGACACACAGACAGCTACAAACAGGTGGACACAATCCAACAGCTAACCATACCCGCCAGCCATTATAGCCCCCAAGTCTTAAGGTCAGCCACCAATCATGATCTATTCAGGGGATGTAAACTCTGAAACCAATCTGAATGTACATACCTGTTATAGCCACGATATGATGTCCCACTAACAACACGGATTTGGCAGGATAGACAGTCATCTGAAAGTGATGTGCATATATTATAAATATGTAAGACCCAACCAGGTTTTCTGTTTCTAGTCATTTTCAACTACCGATGCGATACTATATATTGTCCGGATTTAAAAGAAAGGGCAGACAACTCTAATCTGCTTTCCTCAAAACAAAGAACGAGTTTGCTCCAGAATTGCTATATCAAAATCGGCTTGAGGTCTGCAAAACAATGCTGTGTCGTCGGGTCATTCTAGGCTTAACCAAAATACTAGCACTTAACCAAAAACTAGTGCCTAACACTATGTCGCCATAAACAAGATATGAACTAGCTAGATACGTTGACTGGATACTTAATAATGACCCTTCTACACTCCAAGTACTTACTCATGGCTAAGACACGAAACATTAACCTCTGAAGCATGACATGGGCAATAAGCACTTACTTCTGTGCTGTTGTGTCCATACACTCAGCAGAGCCGTTTCCAGTTTGACAAGTTGCTGTGATGTTACCTCTCTTGTCATCAGGGACTCCACTTTGATGCTATACATTGCTTCAAGTCTGAAGGCAACCTTCCCAGAATACATTTTCCAAGATGACATTGCATCCGGTTGATAAGCTTCGATATCAGTACTGGATGGTGGAACGTCGTCATCAGTTTGGGAGAGTCGCTCGTTGATTCTTACTGTGTATAACACCTGGGTCAGCTCAACACTGAAATAGGAATGTGTGAGTTGTTTGTGCTTAATGCCATTTTCAACAGGATTTCAAACAGGTAAATAAATAAGAACATGGTTCTGGTGTCAAAACCCAACGGGAAGACTAAGGGAGTCTTAATATCGAAATTACCGATACAAAGAGCGTCGATATTATAAAATATAGCCATAGTTACGATGTTCTGTGAACTATTACATACTTTAGCCACACGCTAATCAGACACGAGTGAGTGAGTGAGTTTAGTTTTATGCCACACTCAGCAATATTCCAGCTATATGGCGGCGGTCTGTAAATAATCGAGTCTGGACCAGACAATCCAGTGATCAACAGCATGAGCATCGATCTAAGCAACTGGGATACGATGACATGTGTCAACCAAGTCGGCGAGTCTGACCACCCAATCCCATTTGTCGTCTCTTACGACAAGCATGGGTTACTGAAGATTAATTCTAACCCGGACCTTCACGGGTCTTGTATTGACGTGAGACACCATGTTGAACATCTCGACAAAATCAGTGACAGGTATACATACCCGAATTCACCGACGAATTTCTCTGTCTTGTGGATAAGAATCTCTATTTTGACGTTCACACCTGTGACAAAAGATAAATATATGCTTCATTAGATGTAGCTACATCTCTGTTTAATATGGAATTTTTGTACTGTGCAAATATGTGTTATGTAATTGTTTGTGGTCATATTCAACTTGTACGATGTCCTCATCATTGAATTTAAACATTTAGGGGCATAATAAACATGACAGAAAGTTATTCTCACAAACGTTGATTCTCACCTGTTTTTGACTGCCATGCCTGCTTAAGAACGTTCTGAAGATTTGTCTGCTGTGCCATTTTAAGAGTTCCTTTAACCATTAATGTGAAGCATGACTCGTATCTGATTGCCGTCGTCCCAGTGTACGCCACAAGAGAAGGGCCATTTGTTGAACTAATGGCATCAAGAACCTCGTGTATGGAGGGGGTAATCATGGTGTCTGGATCAATCACACTGGTCCCCCTCACAGCGAACAGGGACAGTCGGGTAACCACAATACTGAGGGTTGTGAAGGTAAGACAAGATGTAATAATATAATATTTTATGTGCTATTATTAAGGCCTGTAATAATTTCACGAATAGTTTTAAACGTAGACGGGATATAGGTCGCCTTTTGTGCCAGTGCTGACTTAGAAATAGTTTCAGATAATACAATTTGATTTATCTGACAATTCAACGTTTTGCGAGTATAGACGACCATGTTGTGTAAAGATCTGAAATTTTTTGAGTAGAGTTGAGTACCTCGTCTTGAGGATCCACGGTGTTGGTTTCACATAAATAGTAAACTGGAGTACTGTTTAATGAGGCACTGAACACAAATATCTCACTCACTGTTGGAACGTGCAAGGCACACCTACCTGTTGTCTCCTATGTATTCCTCCGTTGACTGGATGTTGATGGTGACACTGTCATTAACTGTAAACATTAATTTCAAAATATTCAAAATTTGAGAAACAACCGCAAATGAAATATCACAGATTGATTTTAACAGATGTCAGATTTCCGAATCGGAAGAAAGCATTTTGAATTATTACAGGTTTTACAGTAATTTTACCGCTTGGGATGCATATAAAAATTTACACCAGGGTGATAATCAATAATAACTGATTTGACTCACTGTATGTCTTGTTCCATGAGGTCTGTATCGCCGTCTTCAAAAGTGCTTGGTCTTTGGTCCGGATATGACCTATCACTGTGATGCTGAACTGCTCGTCAGCGCGAGCATAATGAACGGACAGAGAAGAACTGTTAATCAAATCGTAGTAATCTCCCCTGATCGACGTAAAGTTGAGAGTTATCTTTTCCTTGTTGAGACTACCGTAATTGAGGGGTGTAATATATTTATTGTTCATCTTGACGAGGAATAGCTGCCTCCATGCCGTCAGCCTGAAACAGAGAAACAGTTATCAATTGTCTGAAGATGATATAGTAAAATTTTCAAAGTAGCATTGTGGATGATAATTTTGATCGAGATCAGTTGCAACTACTAGTTTCTGATTAACCTGCCAACATGTATTCCCTCTCATATGAAGACTGTGTCCGAAAATGAACCACTGATCATTTGGCTGCTAAAATCATTATCAGGCATACGAAGTTAGATGTCCGTGTGAATACACACTGGTATTTATTAAGTGAGAACCCTGTGCCTATCTCTAATGAACCTTTGTAATGCACACTTCGTTTTGTGACTTGAGATGAGGTCCCGTATTGGATTATTGCACATGGAGCGACGTGTATGAACGTGTGTGTGGTTGCTTATGCTGATCTGGATTAGTGCAGGTCTTATAGATCTCAGCTGGTAACATTGCATGCCGCATTTGTACGTATACCAAAGCTAGACACGATGAGTTAGAGTTGAGTTTTAAGCCGTTTTTAGCAATATTCCAGCAATATCAAGGCGGGGGACACCACAGATGGGCTTTACACATTGTACCCATGTAGATAATCGAACCCGGGTCTTCGGCCTAACCACTTGACTAAACCCGCCGCCCTCAGACACAGTATACTGACAGCGGGTCCGCGGCGGATACACAGGGGAGACTGCCCTACCCTACCTAAACGTCTGACTGATGTTTACTTAAAATATATCTGGCAAATCATATAAGGAAACGGCCGATGACTTACTTTGAATCCGTTATATGTTTAAACTGGGTCTGTCCCTTCCATTCAACTTGTACGCCAGTTAAGTTGTTTTCTGTGAAATGAGAATATAAATATGACATTCCTTGTCACAGTCTAGAGATTTTCAATCCTTGTACTGGGATGACAAACACCAAAACAAGACCAGCTCCAATTACAAAATGTCCAAACAAACATGTTTGACGTTTATGTGGAAGGAACATCTCAACAATGATATACACATAGTGGGTGGGTGGGTAAGCGAGTGAGTGAGTTTAATTTTACGCTGCTCTTAGCAATATTCCAGCAATATCACGGCGGGGGACACCAGAAATGGGCTTCACACATTGTGCCCATGTGGGGAATCGAACCTGGATCTTCCGAGTGACGACCATCAATTCAATTCCATCAATTTAGTCCATTAAATACAGTCATAGATACTACATCAAGTCATCTGTGTCCGGAGATTTTGATGTAAAGATAACGAAATACGGTGTGTGAAGAAACTGATAGCTCGACAAACCTGGAACAATGTCTTTGATTGTTTCCTGCAGAGTTTCTGTAAAATGAGTGACGTCGTCACGAAACACCTTTCTAGTGACGTATAGATGGTACACTTCCTCGATTCTCACCGTCTCCGTGACGTCAACTATTGTATACGTCATACCACGAGGGCTCGTGACGTTCACGTTCTTCATTATGACGTCTGCCGAGGCCTGCACTATCTTCTGTGACGACACCACTGTGTTGTTCTTCTTTATGACGTATGAGAGCTTCCATACTGACTCACTGGTACATATAGTAAAAAATGAACGATAGTAGAGCAACATGTCCTTTGTAACGAAAAGACCAGCATAGCGTAAAAATAGAAAGAGACAGATGATTTCATACATTTACTTGCTTAATGTTCAATATATTATATATTATTTTTTAAATTCATGACCTTGATCTACTAAGGAATAGGATCTCGGCTCACGTTATAGCAAATCTGTTACACTAACAACATAACGGTTCTAATAGTATTCTTCCATTTGTAAGAAATGGCTACTCAACAAAATATATGCAGTACACAATATACAGAGTAGTAATACTCTGTAAAAGGTAACGTACATGAAGAGTTCACTAATCATTAACCAGACCAAAACTAAAACCAATACATGGTCTGAGTAAACGAATTTCTCCCGTTTAGTGTATATCTTACCCGTGAGAGTCCAGCTCTTCCTCTTGTTTACATACTGAAACCACGGCACCTGTTAAAGGTACATCATCATATTAGTATATGTCTTCCAGAAGACCTCTCCAGTAGTTTGGTGCATATTGTGTTGACCAATATATTGGGTGATTCACAAAACCAACACTATCCGGTTCTATATATTGATTTGTCAGTGTGATAATTTATATTTGACGCTTCAAGGCAACTTTTAAAAAATGAAGCGTTCTACTTGAAGTTGCACATTGTACGTCTGCTTCTTCCCAGGACTTTCTCATTTGAGAATTGTGCGGTAAAACATTTATTTACTTACATTTTAAGTACCCTAGAATGAGTGTGTTGTGTGGGGTTTAAAACCAAGCTGTCACTGAAGTGCCGTAATTAGAATCGGGGTAAATGTGTGTAATTTGAAGAGACAATCAGTTCACCATTACTGATAAAGGGACACAACTCTGTACAGCGAGCTGCTGGACAGAGCCCCACAATGACAACTAAACTACGTCCTGCAGTACCCGTCATGGTGTGGTTCCAGAACGCCGCGAGAGATGTCTCGAACTGTATATAGTCTATGCTGGCCACTCTGTGCTTGATATGCAGGGAGAAGAGGTCAGTGTAGCGGTACATGGTCTCAACAACAGTCACGTCCAGGAGGATGCCAGAATAGTTGGTGGACGTCGTGTAGAATTCGGTGTCTAGAACGGCCTTGACCTCATTTACACTGAGACCGATCTCTGACCGTGCGTCAACGAGTTTTGAGTCCCTTTCCAGAGAGTATAGCACTCTCCATAACGTTTTGCTGAAAAAGACAGAGTCAGCTCGTCCTTGATCGGTGATATTTGTTTTTGTGTATATTTTCTGATTTCGTTGTTGAATTCGTGGCCCAAATGGCAGTAGTTTTACTGCCGTCACATCGTAACAAACTTAAACTCTTTTATAAAAAGAAGGCGCACATTACTCGCCAATACGCAGCAATGAAGAGTTACGTCCCTTATAGAGAGTTACGCCCCTTAGAAAGAGTTACGTCCCTTAGAAATATCCCAATTACGATCCCAGTATTGAAGACTTCGAAAAACCCTGTTGTATTTATAAACGTCTATTGAAATTAAACCAGGGGGCTAGCGGAACACAAATACCAATGTCTGTGACCTGTGACCTGTGTGACATACATAATACACAAAACGGGTGTTAACATGTTGGCCGCTTAAATCATTTTTTCCATGTCACAATCCTACCTTTCCGCGGTTCCATTAGTCAACTCTTCTTGTAGGAGTATTCGTATTCGTGAAGTAACATTAACCATGATGTTCGATTCTGAAATGGAAGACTCTTCAAAATCACACAAACTATTCTTATCCTGGCAGAACATTCTGTGTCATTTAGGGCTGGGGTGGGTCCAAATCTTCTACCCGGGTACCTACCCTACCCGGATACCCGTTATGTTAATTCCTCAAACTTGTGAGAAATGTCAATATATTCTTCAGCTCGGAGACTACAATTTCGAGTTTATCAATATCTTACCATGTATCATAGTCAAAACAGGTGACTGCACAATTATGTTTAAATCTTCAAAAAACAATACAACCTTTTAATCATGAAAGAAATAACATATTACATTGTTTAATCTATGAGTGACATGATCATAACGGGTCCGGGTATTGAGAGTGGTACCCGGGTCCAACTCATTACCCACCGGATATCCGGGTTACCCGTCCTAGTCAGGGCCGTAGTTAACCTTTCTTGTTAAAAGAGTAATATATCAATACTTTGATGCATAAAAAGTAATCTGTAAAAAAAATCTAGGGGGCAGCTGAACCCCCCCAACCCCCACCCCGGGTCTCACTACGGCCCTGCTAGTCCTATTCAGCATTGTCTGTATGGTTTGATGAAATATATGTGGACAACAATTGGCCTATGTTAGTGCCACATGTCACGTTTACGTGTGATAGTCTTGATCCTCTTCCAGGATGAACGGCTAAGGAACTGTAACCTTGCCCTTTTCATAAAATCCTCGTATCACACCACATTCAGTGGACCATTTCTATTACTCATGAATTTTAGGTTCGATGGAAACTGTCTCTGTGGATAATGGAGTTTCTGACGTTTTATATTATCTTGATATAAAATGTAGAAATGTATGCCAGTGTTTATGACTATACGTCTTGGGGTATCTGGAGGTTTTAAACTTTTGTGTCTACTTAGACTCACCAAACTTGATCTTCCAGGCCACTTCCAACCTATCCTGGAACTCGTGCGTGTCTTGCAGCAGAACCGGCGATGCCATGTAGAACGCAAACAAACTTTCATATCGCAACAACGTCAATTCAGTTTCCATGACAACTTGATACTTCTCCTTAAATAGTGACGTCAGAGTTGCCTGTATTCTTGTTTTGTTCTGGGATGGGACTTCCCCTGCAGTTACAGTTTCCTCGCCAATTTTGAGGAAGTAAACAAGTCTTGATATAGTATTCCTGAAAAAGGTAACATTGATGCTATGATTTACGTTCCACAAAATCATATTTATACGAAGAAAGACTCTTGAAGGGAAACTTGTTTATATGAAATACACCAAGTCATATCACAGGACAGTTTAACTCCGCTGTTTAGAAATTAAAGGATTTTAAGTAAATACTTCGAGTTTTCCGAAGTTCGACACAACCGAAATATGATAACTAAAGAGGAATACGCAGGAATCAGTGTGAATGGGGAGTATGTATAAAGGCATGCTTAAAATACACGTCATGAAAGCGGTGTTTCGGAATACAAGGTGTCTGGTCTAACAAGATTTCACATACCCGGCTATGTCAACAAGTTCATCCTGTCTGGACACTTCCACGGTGACAGCTGTTGTCTCCTGTACTGACTCTGTGGGAATAGAAATAGATGAAATTTTGATTAATGTATCAATGATTGGTCATGAAGTCCTTTGCAGAATGTTTTTCTTTTGCTGGAACAATGTATGTTGCTGTTAATCAAAACACGATTACGACCAGTGATTACAAAGTAGGCCCTGGACCCCGGCCACTTAGCAATTTCAGCGCTACGTTGATCCTAAGCCTATATTTAAGTTACGACCATCACAACACGAAGGTGAAACTGGGTGCTGGTTGTTTGTGTCATTCGTGTGAATGTTTGCTCACGATATCAACCTCGAGTGTGCATGTCCTAGCCTGGATTATTCGTAGTCCACGCTCATAGAGCAAATCAACGTCTGACTGAGGCGTAAAACACCATTATGTTATTCATTTGCACCTCAAACATTGTAGTGGTATATAATGTTTGTTTACGTTTTATTGAAAGACAAAGTAACTCATCTACCTCTTAACGTTGTATTCCACAGGTGTGTCAGTGCCTCTGATATGCTGACGATGTCCACAGTTTTGATGACGCTCTTCACCAGTATGCTGAGGCTCTGTTCGTAGAGCCGCAATCCCTCTCCAGTTTTTTCCAACATCTCTACGTATCCATGGACACCAGCAATCTTCAGATTCTTCACCTCTGTCATCAGTAGGGTCATATTGACCGTAACCCTTGCAAGACCCCACCCGGGAACATAGGGGACTACGTTATCCTTATCTCCTTCGTAAATGAACACTGAAAGCTCCCAGAAGGAATTCCTGGAACAAGAAAGAACACAACTGAAGAACAACTGTCTCGGTTAGTACATGATAACTGGAACTACAAACACAGAGGGAATCAGACAGTATAGACTGCCTCATAAGACATAATTGTACATAGCATAGACAGTCACTTACCCAGAGATGTCAATCACTTCCTGGTTGCTTAGGATGAGAATGTCAGCTGCAACAGGTCAATAGTGACAATGGTGACATGTGACAGGATGATTATAATAGTATTACCATTCCCGTGTTAGATGGAAAAAATCACATTTCTGTTGTGCCACATTACAGTTGTTTCTTTAATGCTCCCAATAATAAAAATCAATAATTCAGGTTAAAAGCTTCAGTAACTTCTCTGAAACAAAACAAATCGTATTTACTGTGACATATTGATATTATTTCGTTCCACTATGTGATCCCAAATTGTATACAAAATGGGAATGGCCGTCTCGCTTTTATATGCAACCATGTATGTCAACACCGTGGTTTAGCCAGAGCCCGAATGGAGATTCTGATCGAAATGATACACGTAGCTCTAAAATCAATCCAACTTACTGACAGATACAGCGTATGAAATGTTGACAGCTTGTTTGATTTTAGTAAAGTGTTCTTCCGCAATTGGTGCAGAGAAATATAGTTCCACTTTGTTACGATAGTCGATCAGTTGGCGCTGTTGAACTTCCTCTATGACATAACCGGACGCGAAAGTAACATCGATCTCTGATTGGAGGGAGGTGACGTTGACGCCAGTGGTAACCTCAGCATCCAGTGTAATATTTTGCCTCAGAAGCTGATATTCCACCTTCCACAACATCTGTCTGAAATACATCCATTTAGAGTGAGTGAGTATGGTTTTACGCCGCTTTTAGCAATATTCGAGCAACATCACTGCGGGGGACACCAGAAATGGGCACATCCATTTCGAACTGATTATAGTTTAAGGTCAGTATAATAGTATACGGGCAGGGACTGAACAATGATGGTGTCAGCTCATAAAACGATGATAAGAGAGCGCCATGATGGTTACTAAAGGTTCAAACACATACCCGTTGATAGTTATGAATGGAATTTGCCTCAGAAGACGGACTGAGGTACAGCATTCTGGAAAAAATGTATACATGCAAACATGTTGTTTTATATCAATCTAAAAATTAGCATTGAACTTTCATTAAATTATGACAAGGCAAGAGTTTTACTTCAGGCAACACCATATAGAAAATCACACCCACAAACTACGTCTTGCATACAGTCATGTCTCGATTTTGTTATTCTTAAAGTTCTTCACGGCTTAAATTGCTTTTGAAGAGTAAATATTACTTCGTTTATAATGTATAAACTTTTCACTTTGTTGCAGTAGGAATTCTACAGCGGCAGAATTTCTGCAAGTATTTTATGTATGGTATCAAATACCTTGTGTGTTGTTGTCCATTGTATAAGTCTTTTCAATGGTTTTCTCCATCCTCGACCAGTGGTCGATCCTGACCATCGCCTTCAAGAAGAATCCAAACAGAGAATGTTCCCTGGTGGTCACATCACCGGTCACTTCCACTACAGTGTTATGCTGACCCTGAACAGACCGGATGTCCTTCAGTTCCGATTTCAAGATGGTGGTATTCAGCTTCCGGTGTGTCATGGCATCAACCATTGTAGCATTTTGTTTCATGAAGTACAGGACCTTGTAGAATGTTTTTCTGAAGCGAAAGGAGTATTATTGGAAATGTAATTCATTAGATGGTGAAACCTTTGTTTGAATAATTGAGTTTTCTTTTCCAGAAGCCTTTGTAAGAAACACCAGGGTTTGGGAACTGAGACTTCGGAGATTGGTGCTGGCCAATGCTCATCAGTTACTATATTGCACAATTCTATGAAAATATCCAGTTGCTACGTCCGGATCAAGGGGTTATTGAATAATGATGTATTTGTCTGTTTGTGTCATATATTCCTGGTACCAACCCTTTGCTGTCTATAACCTCATGTATGGACCCAAGATCAAAATCCAGGCATGCACATGTCTTGTACTCTGAAAAATAACACAATACCAATTATTATAATATTAATTACTAATACACATTTCCGAAGTTGTTAAATGAGACTGAAGTCTTGACTAGACAAACTGAAGTCTCTGGTATATTTTACGTATAACATATATCAACAGCCATGTATTGAATAACTTACAATACCCAAATATTATTAACAAACATATAAAGGTGTTTGAATATATCGGCCTACCGTCAATGGTCGACCACGATCTGTTGAGGGCTGCCTTTATCTCAGACCAGAAGGAGAAAGATACATTCTTCTCCAAGTAGAATGAGAAGCTGTTTCGGAAGTTGTAGTAAGAAGTCTCTGTTTGATTGACCAGTGTAGTGACACGGTGCCCAGTGGAGGTCACCAGGTCAAAGTGAGGCCAAGAACCGTTCAGGGAAGACATTGGGTTTAGAATCCGTCCATCCACCTTGACTGAGAACAGGTACTTCCAAGCGCTCTCGCTGGAAGAGGAGAGGAATATGGAATATCAGAGAAACCAAAAATGGACTGACGATTTCACATCTTGGGGTGGGCGAGTATGGTGACAATTTACGACATATGTCGTGTACCGAGAACATATCTTTTTTTAGAAATCAGAAACATCAATATATGTTCCCAAACTTCCACCATGAAACAATCTCCCAAATAAGGAGTGAGTGTTCACAGTATCATATGACCTCTTCATTAAATCAGTGGGCGGGAACTCCTTGATGATTTTCCTGGTTGAAAAATTATACAATGATTTGTCAGTGGGTAGCTTATAGTTTCGCACCTTTTCTCGAACACCTATTATATTTAATCAGAATCGTATAGCAGACACTCCTTTTACTACTAATTCACAAATGTCTCCCTCTGATGTAACGTTCATTAGTGTTTGTTCGGGGGAGTCAGTATGTGTTGATGGTTCAAAACACGCAATGTGTGCTGTGAAAGGTGTAGCGTATTTCTTCAGAATCTAGGATACTGACAAGTGATTTTTATAACATTTTTATAACCTTTCCCCTACGACAATCCCCCACACCCACACTTCCACATCAAGGTAAGACTGAGTTGATGGAGACCTACTATGATCCCGTTGTTACTTCTTCGTGTTTCAGGACATTCACTGTGATGCTTGTATTCATCGTAACTGAAACAAGACGATAAAACATTTTTCATCTGCTACAAAGATTCATTTATTATCGATAAATGGTCACCACCAATGTCTCCAAGACAATATGTTTTAAATGTTTAACTCAGCTGACTGGTGATTATACTAGCCTGAGAAGCGAACTCCTTTGCCACTTGGAAACACTAACGCCTTATGAGTTTGACTCAGTGAGTTTAGTTTTACATCGCCTTTAGCAATATTGCATCAATATCACTGCGGGTGACACCAGAAATGGGCTTCACGCATTGCACCCATGTGGGGAATTGAACCCTGGTCTTCGGTGTGACGAGAGAACGCTTTAACCACAGGGCTACCCACAGCCCCTAATGCATCGTGAAGCGTATACACAGTACCTACAACATTCTATTTTATCATTTGATATGGAAGCCATATTTCCCGCCTCTATAAAATGATAATAACACAAATGGATACGTACCCTTCAGCTGTTTTCTGACTGCTGCCTCAATTGTTTCTTTGAATTTCAGTTCTTCCTTCTTGCCAAACTTGGCACTGAGGAACAGACTGAACGTCTGATCTGCCCGGAATAGATGGTCCACAGACTTCATCACCTTGTAGGACTGCCCGTTTACGTCTGTCACATTGACGATGCCTACAGCTAGGAGAGTGGTCACATTCTTGTATTCTTCTACCCTGGAGTCCAGTACAGCTGCTGTCTCCTTTGTGTCATTGGTGGAAACGAAGTATACAAGCTCCCAGTAGGATTTCCTGAAATGACAATGGTATTGAGTGATGTGTTTTAACTGGACATGATCTTTATGTTATGAAATGTTTGGTGGTTGGTTGTTTAACGCCACATTCAGTAATATCCAGCTGATTGATCTGAGGATGATAGAACCAAACCAAACAATCGATACTGCGTGCAACGATTGCTGACATCAATAACTACACCAGGCCTCTTTATCCAGTAAGTCGTCTCGTACGACAAGTATAAGTATAAGTGCTGCATATTTCAAGGAAGATGCCAAAGTGTTACACACTCGTCTAGTTTTACGCCCGTTGGTAAGACAGTATCATAACAGCTATTGATTTCAAACCCGAAAAATCAATAATTGCAGATATTTTGAAAAACGTAAGTGTCTAGATAACACTTCTTATCACTCTGAATGTCACATATACTTGCATACAGATTGTTCAACGGTTTATAACACCATGATCATTAATGCAGTTCTTTGAGGACTGCATTTCGGCATTTTTTTATAAGTATTTTACAAATTACTTATAATAACACATATTAATCATTTATACAATTACCACTTACCCTGTCTTGTCAATAACTTCCTTTTGTACAGAGATATCAATGCTTACGTTGATTCCTGAAACAAAGTTGATATTTTGTTAATACAGAGGCACCCTGTTGCTAAAAACGGCGCGGTGCAAAGTCATGCTTACTCACTCACTCTGACTGTGTGAAACAGTATTCAAAGCGGTTTTGAAACTGCAACCAGCTAACTTTACAGATGTCAAAGTGACCAAAAGAAATCGGGAGTTCCTTGACTTTTTAATCAGATCAACGATAGTAATATGAAATAATGGTGTGGTCTTAGCGATTTAATCTTTGATGGTATATAATGGATAATTTGGAGGAAGATAGAATGTTTGAGTGGTCCTTAATCCTTTGAGTGGTATATATGGAATACAATTATTGTCGTTTACTTATATACATACAATTTACATAATTCAGCGAGTACTCACCCTTTGTGTACGGACCATACACTTTCCAGTTTCTCCTTAATCGTTTCCATATCCTTTTGTGCAACTTTCACAGTGAAGTATACTGGGAAGTGTTTGGCGTATTCTAAGCTGGACGTTTCATCAACCAAGGTATAGTTGTCTCCCCTTGACGTAACAATGGAAACGAGGCTGGCCTTCAGCTCCTGCTTCATCTTCAGCTCGTAGATGGAGAGGTCAGTGCGGGTCAAAATTGTGGAATTCCATTTCAGAGAATACGTCCAACCCCATGATGACTTCCTGTATGTATGGTGAAAAGGAAAGTGTTTATATAGTATTTTGAACACATACCCATGTATACTAATTGGTGTTGATATATCCATCAAGATCAAGAAATGAAATTCCGCGTAATACTTAGCAATAAGGTATAGAACGTATCAGATACATATGTTGTAGATCATATTAGTACGTACCCGTTCTTCATGACGTATTCGTTTGATCTTTTGAAATCAATCTGCAGTTCAGACTCTGGAAAACAAGTGCAACATCACAGCATTGTGTTGGTCACGGAGGGGCGGTGGGGTAGCCTAGTGGTTAAAGCGTTGGCTCGTCACGCCGAAGACCCGGGTTCGATTCCCCACATGGGCACAATGTGTGAAGCCCATTTCTGGTGTCCCCCGCCGTGATATTGCTGGAATATTGCTAAAAGCGGCGTAAAACTAAACTCAGTCAGTCAGTTGGTCACGGAACAGCCACCGGAACATGAAAGGTTAATATAGCATAACATGGTGTCGTTGATACATTTGTTATGCTTAAAATAGTACACATGGATACGCTTATGCCACAACTATATTTCAGTTTATTATGTTTGGATGTAGGGGACATTCCCTGATAATGTCATTGTTCATGCAGTAAACCACTGGTTCGTCTTGTTTATGGTGACTATACACAATGGGGCGTGATACAACATCCTTGGCTCACGCATGTGTGTCTCGACAGTCAAGTCCAGTGCAGGTAACAGAATAAAACCCGATGTAAACATTTAAAATTATGTAATGCCTGATAACAGAAGAAGCAGAGGAAGTACGGTTCAACGAGTGTCCAAGACTTGATCTTAAATCTTACTTGAAACATTCAACACTTTAGCCCACGACGCTCTCACTGCCTCTGAGATCTTGCTGACGTCAGTCTGAGACATTGGCCTGTTGAGTCTCAGTTCATGTAGGGAGAGTTCCGTGTGGGTCTCCGTGACACTGATCTCCGATACACCGTTCTCCATGCCATTGGGTCCCTTGAATACAAGTAACTTCTCCAGGTCATTCCTGCTGGGGGTTTTAAGGTAGGAGGCGTCCACCTTGGCACCGTTGACGTACACGCCGTAGTGCAGACGCCATACCGTCTCACTAGAACACCGGAGAAAACAAAATAAAAAACGACAAACTCCCTATTACAGGTAAAAGACAAAACTATTCATACTATCCACATTTTATATAATAAGAGAAGCAGCCATGGCTCAAAAATAAGGCTAAATAAATAAATAAATAAATCCGGTCTACATGCATATTTCTTTAACTATTTCAGGATGTAAAAACTTAAGCATTTAACCATTTGTATATGTCTTGATACTAATGAATACCTGCAGCTGCATAATGTCCACTGTCCATAGAAATGTGAATAGAGAGGTGATGAATAAAAAGTGTTACTATGTACTGACTCCATGCTATATATATTACCTGTGTGAAACTGATAGTTTAGGTCTTCAACTCGTTGAAAGGTGAAAATGTGCGAAGAAGAAGGTGACATTTCTATAGATAACAACACATCTTTCCATAATACATATCCTTCATTGTCTTTAAGCACATTTGAGTGCCTTCATCAGACATATTTGAGTTCCTTCATCAGAAGAGGGGTCAGAACAATGTATACACGTTACTTTCGAGTTCATCTCCTTGTGCTACCTACCCAGTATCAGTAACCAGCTCCTGTTGGTCCAGGATCTTTGCTGACACCTTTGTGGTGCTAGGCACTATCAGGTCTGAAACATTGTTCATAACTACATTCGACTCTCGCTACAAATCAAGGATTTGACGAAACAGCATCTACTCAGCTGGTTCTTCGACTTATCCGAATGTTACACTTACATTACTCTTATATCACACTTCCACGCGCAGTGACATTTCAACACAAACAATCGATTCGAAGTAACTTTTCTTTTAAAAAATAATTTAAACTCCATTTACCAAGATGCCGTCATATTTATAAGTTAATTACAGTTATAGTAATGATGAGAAATTACATAAAGTATCATTCCGTGTCGGTAATGTGTTTGTTTTGATAAGCTGATCAGTTCCACCTGCACCAACGGAGTGTTTGCATAACAATTTCCTTTTTACTGACACGATAAATTGATACACTCTGTATGGGTACCAAAATCCGGTACAGATTAATCAACTGATTAATTACTGAGTTTCTCTACAACGATTGTGCTACAGGGTTGTGTCGGTAACCGTTATCTTGATTGATTGTCTGCCTCGTGGGTAGCACCATAGTGATAAACGCCTACAATTGTAGGTGGCCTTAACCTTCGACACTTCCAAGCCATGATATAATTGAACACTGCTTACAAAAACGAATCCCTGAGATGGGTAACTGTAATATTTACCTGGATTAGTTTTGGTGATGATCTCACTCAGTTTCGCCTCAATATCTGAGTAGCTGCTGGTTGACACCTTCGCCTTCATATTGATTCCGAATATTGTTGTCTTGCTGTCGACGTGGGTTGAACTGCCAACCTTCAGCTTGTACTCGAAACCAAAATTGGACTTAAAATGAAACCACTGGAGGAAATCCTTCTCCTCTGTTGTGTTTATCGATAATGGGCGAATCGTTTTTCCGTTCTCTTTCACGAAGTACGAGAGTTTCCATTCCGACTTGCTGAAATGTTAAAAATACGGATTCGTGAAATGAAACAAATTTGTAAAGATCATAGAAATATCCACATTCCCGAGACAAGAGTGTCAGGTGGATAGTATCACTACTTTGTGAAAACAAGATTTGGATTTCGAGGGCATTTTGAGACAAATCGCGTTTAGTTATATAGTGTTACATATAACCTGCCTCAGATTTTATCAAAATCAGTTACACATGTTTGAAACATATTTGATCTGTCAATAGTAAAGATAGGTTATACAGCCAAGAATTGCTTATTAAGAGAACCACGTATGTCTTTACCCATCCTTTGTTATGACTTCTTCCACTGGACCGACAACAACCGAGATGTTTGAGGATCCACCTGAAAGAGATGAACATGAACCTTTGAATGATGAACGTGGCAGATCCTTCCTGGTGTTTGTCGACTTTGGTGTCCCTCTGTGATACTGTACATACAACTATAGTTTGGCATGAAATGCATGATGACCCGTTTTTTTGTAAACATCTCTTCATCCAATGACCCAATCGATCTCAAACTGTGCAAGTGGATGTTTTGTCAGACAACCTAATCACATTGTAAATCACCGATTTTATGCATTTGTTTTAAAGAATCTGTCTATGTAACTGTCAACAAAATAGACAGCAGAACGCAGAGTGCTTGCAGAGGGAGGGAGCCAATGACCTGTAACAGCGGCGAGTGTTGGGTCATAAAGGTCAACGTTCGTCAATGTAGGTCAGCTATGCACGTGACAGGTATGAAGAGGTGTCACGGGTTGCCAACTGTTAACCATCATAGGTGTTTGTTTCTCTGAGTTGTTCAACATTAACCACAAAACCCATTAGTGAGAATTATTCTGTAGGTTAAAATCTTTAAATTTTGCAAATAGCCGGCGTCCCTCTTCATACCTGTCACGTGCATAGCTGACCTACATTGACGAACGTTGACCTTTATGACCCAACACTGCCGCTGTTACAGGTCATTGGCTCCCACCCTCTGCAATCATTCTGCGTTCTGCTGTTTATTTTGTTGACAGTTACATAGACAGATTCTTTAAAACAAATGCATAAAATCGGTGATTTACAATGTGATTAGGTTGTCTGACAAAACATCCACTTGCACAGTTTGAGATCGATTGGGTCATTGGATGAAGAGATATTTACAAAAAAACGGGTCCACATGCATTTCATGCCAAACTATAGCAGTAAATGGTTACATTTAGAAATTAGCCGAGCATTACATTTCATGTTCACTGTACATGTAACATGGTAGTTGCATCTTTTGGACGCTTCAAGAACTCTTCGTGATAGCATACCGGTCTTGTTCTTGTAGTACTCTTCCAATGATGCTTTAAATTTGGCATAGTCCTCCTTGTGAATGGTAGACTGGACGAAGATAGATCCGAGGTTTTCAGTGGACGTGTAGATGGTGTCAGTGCTCGATGACTCCACGCTGACCACAAGGCTGGTGTTGGTCTTCAGGACGGTCTGTACCTGTGTTGCGTTGACGTGGCTTTCTTCTGGTTTGATGACGGTCCCATTCACTTCAATGTGGTAGCCAAGTTTCCACTCCCATTCTCTGTCATAACGTCATAACTGTCATCAGTATGTACTTTTATACATGGATTTTAGTTCTATTTTAGTAACTGTCCATTGATTTATGTTTACTTGAATAATTCACGTCCATATAATCAGAAAGAGTCTATTTGCTTATTCACAAGGAATATTTTTAGTGATCTAAATCAAACCATGTTATGGGATCAAGCTTTGTGATTTACATACTCTTCAGTTGAAATTATTCTCACATCAACTGATATAAAATGAAGTATTATGAACCCAGTATTGTATTTACCCCGCGTCTGTGAGAACCTCATTCTGTGTATCAACAACAACTTTGATACCTGTTGAGTTGGTATATTCTGAAAAAAGAACAGATGACAAAGAGACATGAAGACTTATGTATGTGAAGGCCAATACATTTCATGATACAGTATTGGTTTGTATTGCGCTTTACCTTACAAGCAAGTGTTTTTGACCCTGCAAGTTACATGAATTTTTGTTTGCTATTTTACGTAGCATCGAGTATTATTCCAGTCATGTGAAATCCTGCTCAAAATCCTCGAATCTGACCTGATATTCAAGCGATCGTAACACCAGCATTCCATGCCGTAATGGTTTCATGAAACGCTATTTGACCACTCACTCCACAAAGTCGCCACCTGCGACCTCCTCCATAGGC